TAGTAGTCTAACGATGTTGTAGGTGACTCCGTCCTCTCCAGGGGAAGTAGACCTACCCCTGGCGAGGGCGGCGTCAAGCTCCCACTCAGTATATAGAACATCACACTCATCGTGTTGTTTGCCCAGCATAAAGCTAATAGGATTACTTCTCTCTACAGACTTCGCATCAAGGAGTCCCCGAGTCCCAGCTGGTAACATGTCACAGCTAGACACATGAGCCCACTTTGTTATTAGCTCATTCGACTTTTGCAGAGGGTTTGGATGGGAGACGTGTCTACTGTTTTTACCTCTGATTATGTTTATGTCTTTCCAGGCTTTGCTGAGGGATGTGTGTTGGTTCAGGCTGTTGACATATGTCTCCCATGCATTTTGTCTGAGTTCGTTTACACGTTCCCTGACAGCAGCAAGGGAAGCTTGATACAATTGTAACATTTGAGGTGTTCTAATTTGTCTGTAACCCTTACCCACCCTCCTGACCCTAGCCCTGAGTTTTTCAGCTCAGGGTCATTATAGCACTGCTGTTGCCTGTTCCCATTATGCTGACCACGTTTTCTCCTTTTTTTGGTGGAGGCATTGTTGGTGAAGTATACATAAGTCCTATCTATCAGATCATCATGGAAACTTTGGTAGTTGTCAGGCTTGTAGTCCTTGTACCAGTCATGGATGAAGTCTATGAACTGGCTTTCATGTTCTTGCTTGACTGTGATTCTACATCTGTTGAGTTTACCACCAGTGGGGGTGTCATTGGCTACATGTATACTAGCTTGGATTGGGCTGTGGTCAGACATAAGATCAGTGACAACATCAGAGCTATGAGTTGTGTATGATAGATTAAAGCCAATACATTTGTCTAGACCCCGCCATAGATGTGTGTTGGTTCATTATTACCTATAATTTGAACATCTTCATATGCGCTGAGAAGTGAGATAAGTCTCCTACCATTGGTGTTAGTGGTGGAGTCACCTAATTTCTTGTGTCTAGTATTCAGGTCACCCATCAGGACAGTGGGCTCAGTGTGTACAAAGTCTGGGAGATCTGTGTACTGAAGCTGATCTGAGGGAGCATAGGCGTTTAGTACGTTGAGTGTGGAGTTGCCCAGGTGGATAGTGATCCCATGGTACTGAAGGTTGGTAGTCTTTTTGGATACAAGAGGTACATGCGGGAGTGACTTCTTAACATACATCAAACATGTGTGAGTAGAACTAGGATCATAATACACATAATTGGGCAGACTGGGTGGGGGCTTACCATTAGGTGTGAGATACTCCTGCAGACACACAATACCGATGTCCTCAGTCACAACTTTGTGGTGTAGGTTAGGATATCGTTTTCTAAGGGATGAGATGTTCCAACTCATCACCTTCACCGCTCTGTATCTTTGCCTGGTATTAACACTGGCCATTATGAAATGTATTTGGAACTTTGTCTGGTATTAACGCTGGCCATTATGAAATGTATTTGGAACTTTGTCTGGTATTAACACTGGCCATTATGAAATGTATTTGGAAAGAAGCAAAAGGCACTGTATGATACTGTTCTTTTCTGCGCTGCCTGTCCCTTCGGCAGGCAGTAGGCCAGTTAACCTTTCTGAAACATTTCTGGAGCATGTACGGCTCAACAATTGTTGTATTTCAGTGGCAGACAACAACACACTTTGGTTACACTCGACATCACCACCATTTTCTGTTTGTGCTTGTTCATCTTCACTGACCATGTCCACAGAGGCATCAGTAGAACTGTTACCAGTATCACTATTTTCCTCTGCGTGGACACTAGTTCCTGGTGGGTCTTGAGTTTCCACATCTGGCACTGACATCTGAATGTCTTCAGTTTGACTGTAATTTTTCCGTAGCTGCTGCACTGTGTCTGTGGTGTTTTTTTCCTTTAGTGTATCACAGAGGCTCCTTAACATTTCAGTTTGAGCTGTAAACTGAGCTTTGAGTTCTTTAATTTCATTTTTCAAATCATTGATCTCTTCACGATGTGCGTGTTCATGGAGTGTGTTGGCAGCTACCTGTTGTGTCGGTACGTCTGTGTTGCCCCATACTGATTTTTCGATGACTGCTGGTGATGATCCTGGAGCTTTGGTGGGGAGGGCGGGCCAGGGGTTGGCCGTAGGGAGTACCCTAGCAGCATTTGTGTTTCTTGAGACCTGCCTGGGTGGCGGGTCTGGGCGCTGAAGGGGGTGTAGGAGCTCTAGAACAGTCAGGGTGCCATACAGGAACTCCAACTGTTTTGCAGTTAATACACTTCTGTTGGATGACACCCCCTTGAGCAACTGTATCTCTGCAAACCTGTGTTGCATGTTGCCTTGAGCAGAGACCACACCACGGCTTAGTCGAGGGGCATAACCGGGCCACATGGCCCCAGTGCTGACAGTTGTAACACCTCCGGTTAGGGGGCTGATAAAGAGTTACCTTCAGAGTCCGATAGGCACCACGGACTCGAATGGTCTTGGGTGGGTCTTCAGAGCCAACCCAGTCTGCAATGACTGCATTCTTGCCCCTGAGTCGCTTCGTCCTTCTGATGTAGGGATGAGCTTCTAGTAGTGTAGGGGTCTGGTACTGGTCGAGCCCTATGATTAAGATGGTTTTCTTGCTCGATGGTTGGGATGATTGTTCCATGGTTATTCCCCTTATGCTACTGGTGAGGAGATCCTGTATGACTGCTGGGTCATTTCTAATCAGAACATGATCTTGTGTACCGACTCTGAACTGAAACTCAGCCTCTGGGTGTTTGTCTTCCGCATCGTTCAGCCAGAGATACTTGTCTTCAGGTGATGTACCTTCAGGGAAATATAATCTTACTCTCATGGGGGGTTGTGGTTGTAGTTGATGGTCTCTAAGTCTTTCTGCCTTTCCGGCCTTCCGCTTGTTCCTGGACTGAACTAGTTGAAAACCATCCTCTCCGTTGGTGTCAAGGTCAACACCACAGTCGCCTGGCTCACTCAGTGCATCAGGAGAGTTAAAGCGAGTAGCTGGGTCTCCAGTCAACTCAGACATGGTGGAGTTACAGGGCTCGACTTATATGCCTACGTCAGGGGGCCGAGGACTGCTTGGCACTCCCAGGAAGTCAGCGGTGGTTGGGAGGCATAACCCTCTTAGAGGACAAAGAAGACTGGCATCTACAGCGTATTAGCGGTGTGAGGGGAGGCCATGAGCGGGCCTCCCGCGGAGGGAGTGTGGTGTCGGGGGGACTAAGGTAACAGGAGTATTCTCAGTTTATAAACACTTTTATTACACTACACTTGTTCTTAATAGTATCTCTGTTTTTCTGGTTAGATACAGTATCAAAGTCAATTTTAGTTTCAAAAGAACTAACCAGCTTGGCACACTATGAGGAGGGGGGTTTGTGTAGACAAACCCTCACCACATGGCCGAGCGTGACCACAAGGGTATAGGCCTTGCCTCGCGGGCACCTACACCTACACACGACACAGTGCTCAACACACGGTAGTTCACTTGTTATACAGGCAACATATTTGCAGTTGTTGACCTATCCCCACCCTACTGGGTGATGATGTGTTATTTCGAAGTCAAGTGTGAAGCCGACCCACTGTTGTTCTCAGGGTGGACTGATTAGCACCTCCTTGTCAGAAGATGGCGGTCAGTTCCCAGGGGTGCTTATCTCACTGGTGAGTCACGGTTCTCACTGGTACTGTCTAGTACTGAATTCACTGGCTTAAACACTGTTCGTAACTGTACAACACTGGTTCCACGTCTTTCCGAAACGAAATGTCACTTTTGATTATGTTGATATCCCGGTGGTGAGGATGGGTCGGGGAGAGGGACGTGGGGAATGGGCCGAGCATTGGCCAAGGGTGAGAGCTGCTCAGCAGGAACAGCGCCTAAATAGGTCTTGACCCTACGGTGGTCAGGTGACTCAGGTCATCACTGTGGTGGCTGTTGTGGGTGTTTTAGTGGTGGCTGTTGTGGGTGTTTTAGTGGTGGCTATTGTGGGTGTTTTAGTGGTGGCTGTTGTGGGTGTTTTAGTGGTGGCTGTTGTGGGTGTTTTAGTGGTGGCTGTTGTGGGTGTTTTAGTGGTGGCTGTTGTGGGTGTTTTTAGTGGTGGCTGTTGTTGGTGTTTTAGTGGTGGCTGTTGTGGGTGTTTTAGTGGTGTTGTGGGTGTTAGTGGCTGTTGTGGGTGTTTAGTGGTGGCTGTTGTGGGTGTTTGTGGTGTGGGTGTTTTAGTGGTGGCTGTTGTGGGTGTTTTAGTGGTGGCTGTTGTGGGTGTTTTAGTGGTGGCTGTTGTGGGTGTTTTAGTGGTGGATGTTGTGGGTGTTTTAGTGGTGGCGGTTGTGGGTGTTATAATACTGTTGTGGGTGTTTTAGTGGTGGCTGTTGTGGGTGTTTTAGTGGTGGCTGTTGTGGGTGTGTTTTAGTGGTGGATGTTGTGGGTGTTTAGTGGTGGCTGTTGTGGGTGTTTTAGTGGTGGCTGTTGTGGGTGTTTTAGTGGTGGCTGTTGTGGGTGTTTTAGTGGTGGATGTTGTGGGTGTTTTTAGTGGTGGCTGTTGTGGGTGTTTTAGGTGGCTGTTGTGGGTGTTTAGTGGTGGCTGTTGTGGGTGTTATAGTGGTGGATGTTGTGGGTGTTTTAGTGGTGGCTGTTGGGTGTTTTTAGTGGTGGATGTTGTGGGTGTTTTAGTGGTGGCTGTTGTGGTGTTTTAGTGGTGGCTGTTGTGGGTGTTTTAGTGGTGGCTGTTGTGGGTGTTTTAGTGGTGGCTGTTGTGGGTGTTTTTAGTGGTGGCTGTTGTGGGTGTTTTAGTGGTGGCTGTTGTGGGTGTTTTAGTGGTGGCTGTTGTGGGTGTTTTAGTGGTGGCTGTTGTGGGTGTTTTAGTGGTGGCTGTTGTGGGTGTTTTTAGTGGTGGCTGTTGTGGGTGTTTTAGTGGTGGCTGTTGTGGGTGTTTTAGTGGTGGCTGTTGTGGGTGTTTTAGTGGTGGCTGTTGTGGGTGTTTTAGTGGTGGCTGTTGTGGGTGTTTTAGTGGTGGCTGTTGTGGGTGTTTTAGTGGTGGCTGTTGTGTGTGTTTTTAGTGGTGGATGTTGTGGGTGTTTGTGGTTGTTAGTGGTGGTTATATAAATTCACTACAGTTTTACTATTTGCCAAAGCTCCTTCTCTCTGTAGCTAAACTGTATACTGTACTTTACTGTAATATATAGAAGATAATCAGGTACATCTCTGAAATGCTAATTTTTTTCTCAGACCATTGTCCTTCTTTTGGCATGGCCACCTCCAGTTTGGGTGGCCATTAGGTAAATATGTTCAATACATGATAACTGTATACATTACCTGTATTGTCTATACACAGAAGATACTGAAACAACTGTAAACTTGTACTGTATAATGATTTCACTGAATAAATATCTCTGTGAGCCCAAGTTGACTCCCCTATCCCTCCTCCCATAGGTACATGAAGACAGGCAAGGCAGCACGTCTGGGAGTCCCCTACTGGTTGGAAAAGTACCCTCACAAAGACACAACCTCGAACTGTGCCATCCTCTATAAAAACGGTGGCTATTATTGGATTGATGCTAAGTGTGACACTAGAAAAGCTGCTGCCATCTGCCGCTATGCATAAACCCACAATGACAACCATCTGCTGCTATGTGTAAACCCACATGAAAACCATCTGCCACTAGGTGTAAACCTACAATGACAACCATCTGCCACTATGTGCAAACCTACAATGACAACCATCTACCACTAGGTGTAAACCTACAATGACAACCATCTGCCATTATGTGTAAACCTACAATGACAACCATCTGCCACTATGTGTAAACCTACAATGACAACCATCTGCTACTATGTGTGAACCTAAATGACATCATCTAAGGATTGAAATTAGCCTAATAATTCTTGAGTCCATTCAGTCACATTAAAAAAATTCTCTCACAAGAATTCCTTTTCTTTAATGGAAATCTACACAACCAAAAGAACAGGTTTAATACCTACATTGGTAGTCTAAATTATTTTTGGTACAGATACTAAAACATAATAATTGTTATATTTCAAAACAATAATGACAGAATAAAGAGTTGCAATACATGTGGGTAACTATGACACCTCATGAGCCACATCTTACCTTACTTTATCTTCCGTGCCACTATAGTCGGTCGACAGTCAGACAGTTCTCTCATCACACTACTGGCAAGCAGATAGATGGATGAATAAATACACAGATGCTTATGAAGTAAAATGTTGTAAAAATTCACGTTGGTTGAGTACTGAACATGGAGAATCAAGAGGTAATAAACCTAACTCAACAAAGTCTGTTTACCACCTCCATAACTGACATGTCAAATGTTCTTCATTTATTTATACAAATTTTAATTACTTTCAGTTTATTGGATATATTATTACATAACTTATTGTTTTCTGAGTAAACGTACAGTACAGTACAGTACAGAGCAGTACAGTATAGTACTGTATAATATAGTATTGTATAGTATACAACAGTGCCGGATTTAGACCTGTGGAGGCCCATGGGCAGCCTCTTTGTGGAGGCTCCCCTCATTATAACTACCCAAGAGGGTGGGGTGGCGAGTGAAGCGAGCCTAAACATCTGGGAGTTCCGGGGGGCGCTGTAAGACCCCCAGGAAAATTTTGAAATTTGAATACTTCTTTGGAGAATTTTGAAGCCATATGCAGTATATTGAGGAAATTAGAACATTGAGAAATTTTTAATTAATTGTATATTTATTGATAGTGTACAAATTCCCAACACACACACAAAAGTGAAACATGAATGGAGTCATTCATGTGGTTTCAAGTCGACCAGCCCTGATATAGCTACTACCGCACATGTGGAGGCCCCTGGGCAGCTGCCCACTTTGCCCACTCCTGAATCCGGCCCTGGTATACAGTAGTATAGTATAGTATAGTACACTGTATAGTAATAACAGATTCAGTACATATAAATTCTTTTGATAAAAATTTTTCCAGGGAAGCAACTGATAACTATTACAATAAATGATAATACAAAGATCATTTTGTAGCCAAAGTAATAAAAAAGTTTCATGTACAAACAAAAATGTTGCTTAATACAGGTGAACAATGTTTTGTGCATAAAAAATCACCTAAATTCACTTAAAGTATCAAGATTTTGTGAAGAAAAGTTTTTAAGAACTAATACCTGCTAAGTTTTTGTTCACCAAACATACAGTAAACTGTACAGTAGGTATGTACAGTAAACACTTCCTTCACCAGTCAATGAACAAATATTTATTCCTTATGCAAAAATCATTGTTTTTTTAATTATCATTGTATTAGAAAATGTTCCCCATAACCTGGGGAGATAAGGGGGGGGGGGGGAGCATGGGTAGTATACTTTATTATTTCCATGATGAAGGGCAGCACCTCAGACTCTCAGCACTTGAAAGTTTTAACACAAAATATGGACTGAAGAAATGGATCAAGTTTAAAATGTATCAAAAATCTTTACTCTATGCCACCTGACAGCCACTTGGGAGGTTGGTCATGTGTCTGTTACAAAGTAAGCAAATACTGGCTCTCTGTTACACATTGTTAGCAAATACTGGTCATGTACTGGCTCTGTTGCACACTGTTAGCAAATACTGGGCATGTACTGGCTCTCTGTTACACATTCTTGGCAAGTACTGGTCATGTACTGGCTCTCTGCTGCACATTCTTGGCAAGTACTGGTCATGTACTGGTGCCAGAATGTCTTTATTTTATCCTCTACACCACTTATAAACTTGCCAGCCATTTCGTTACATCTCTTTTACAAACTATTAGCAAGTACTGGGCATGTACTGGCTGCAGAATGTATCTGTAACTCCACAGGTGTTGGTCAAGTTTGGTCTTGAATTATTTCACACAGCACCTGATACACCTAATGAGCAAATAGCCCATGAAGAGGACCAAAGCATGAGATACAGTAATAGTAGTTCTTGAAATGATACTGAAGGAAGCAGAAACAAGGTCTTATCAAGCCAATGTTCTACATAATAGAGACTTTAACAAGGAATGACTGAATGCATCAATGAAACATTTTAAGACAATTGTAAAAACACATGAAATGTACTTCCAACAGTGTGTAACAGAGACATAACTAACTGCCCAAGAGGCTAACAAGCTGATCAATGGCAAAAAGGATAAAGTAAAGCAAGATGGTAGAGGATAATGATAAGATACATAAACTAAAGATAAAGTAAAGGAAACAAGACAAACTCAAACAATAGATGCCGCTACTCCAATAATCAATACAGGAAGGAAGGACTCGAGAATATACAATACACAGTCAATCATTCCCAAGTTGACCCACACTATGGTTCTGGCTGACACCCACTGTGGTTCTGGCTGACACCCACTGTGGTTCTGGCTGACACCCACTGTGGTTCTGGCTGACACCCACTGTGGTTCTGGCTGACACCCACTGTGGTTCAGCCTTATAATTCAAACTGAAGTGGTTATCAGTAGCAATAATACCATGTTCAACCACTGTACATTGCTTTACTACTACATAACTACTACTGTATTCAACAATAATATAATTTTAATAATGGTACATGCAACTTATTATTGACTTTATTACATGTGAACACTCACCACAAAAAGTTCTCGAATGCCCTAAGGTTCATAAAATATGTCAAAATGAATGAGAAATCAGAACATTGCTCTTTGAGGAAGTTTTATTTCAAATTAAATCTCTTCTTTTAAACTGTAAACACTTTTACTGTAAAAACAAATAACATATATTATTATAAAATATTGAGAGTCACTTCTCAACCAGGCACACTAACCATTCTGAGATGACACAAGCCATAGTGTTCATTCTGAAATCTGTCAAGCCCAGTTGTTCGAGAACTTTTTGTGGCAAGTGTACATACATGCATAACAACTGCTGTTACTTTACTACCACTGTACAGTCAATCACCCACAAAAGTCCTGTCCCCTCGCCTTGTGCACCCGAGGCAGTAGACACTGACGCATCATTCTGACCATAAATGGTTCAGATTCACGAGTCTGAATCTCGGGGTTCGTGGCTCAGGATGTGAGGCGACAGGACTTTTGTGGGTAAGTGTAAAAACATACAGATATACAGTACCAAACAACTGTTATTAAACATTGGGTACATGCTGTACTCATAAGTTTCCTCTCGAAAATAAATTTCTTAATATGACCCGCTTATGCAACACTCAGAGTCTGAAAGATAAAATGGCACCAATCAGTCTTTCAGGTTAAGTGTTAAGTATAATCATATCAACATTCTTATAATACTTAACAATATTTACTTTGAAAAATGTGTATAACAATGGATTCTAAAAAGTGAAAAATTATGGATTGGATCAACACAAGTACAGTACTGTAAATTGTACTATATAAGTAAAACTGGAGAGTTTTTTTAGTTATTTCATTCATATAACAAGTGGCTAGAACTACTGTACATCTTGCCTTTAATCTTTTAATTTTGTAGAATTTAATCTCATCATTTAGACTTAACACTGAGAAGGATGGTGTTGTTGTCCATATGTTGTCAGAATATTAATAACTACAAACTCCTGTACTTTCTCAAACATTCGGTGTAGACAATGCTAAAACTTCCACTTCTATTTGTTTTCATAAAATTCTTCATACTTGATCTATATCAATTGTTTATCTCCTCTTATATTAACTACAATCTACTGTAATATACCACAACCAATCTACAACTATCTCTACAACACTTCCACCAGGTAATCTTCACAACAATCTACAATAACACAACCATCTTTCAAATCTTCCTATAGGTTTTAAAACACTAAATTATCACCTCATTAAAAGCTCACCTTCAGAATATCAACCCCAGTCATATTCTTAACCATGTCAGGGACACAGCAAGTAATGTTGATGACCTCTTGTGTCAACTTTTGTGCCCCCACGGGTGAGTCGCCTGAAGACACCATCTTAATGCTCTTGGTATTAGACAAACTCGTACTCACACCATTCAACATCTGCAAAAATTTGAGAATTTATTTTCAAGAAACACTGGTAATGGTATGAAGTAATATACTGTACTGTACTATCACTTTATTAACTTCTTGTGATATGATTAATTTCTCAACCTCAAAAATTCAGTGTAGAAGGTAAAATTTTTCACAACTTTGGTACTGGCACTTACTACTGTCACACTGAGTATTATTAGACTTACAACTGTCACACTGAGCATTATAAGACTTACTACTGTCACACTGAGCATTATAAGAATTACTATTGTCACACTTAGCATTAAATTCACTGATATTGATATATTGATATTGAAAGTCTATTTAGCCTGGAAAATACAGATATAGAGTCAATACAGTCGACCCTTGTTAATTCGGACTAATAGGGGGGGAAGGGTGTCCGTTTTAGCCGATTGTCCGAATTAACCGATTTAGGGGTTAATATTGCATTATATTTCAAAGTCATTGTTTTCGTCACGATTTTATCCCACTTTCCACTGTAATACGTACGTAATTTCAGCAAAAATATTACATTTCCGTGAATGTATTATATCAAGCACATTATGTATAGAATACCGAAAACTTTAAAAAAAACGAGTAACTTCTCTAGAACATCGGAAGGTTAGGAAAAGTCTTTTGTTTTCGTCATGTATTTTATCCTATTTTACATTAAAATACATCACGTTTCAGCAAAACTACTATATATTTCCAAGAATATATTCATTCAGGCGCAGTTTAGGTAAAATATACATGTGATGTAACAGTTTTTTAACTGAAAACGATTCGAAAAACACGTACCCTCTAGCCCTGTTCAAGGAGAGGACTGGGAGAAGCTGTTTGGTGCTGCAGACGATGACAAGGAAAATGATTTGGATGGATTTTAATGAAAATATTCAGAAATATGGTATCGTAGTATTTATTCAAGTCAATTAGGATAGGATATTAATGTAATACAACAGTTTTTTAACTGAAAACCAATCGAAAAGCGATTACGGTAACATCTTTTGAACGAAAGAAAGCGAAAGTCATTGTTTTTGTCACGATTTTATCCCACTTTCCACTAATACCTACGTCATTTCAGCAAAAATATTACATTTCCGTGAATGCATTATATCAAGCACAGTATGAATAGAATACCATTGTAATATAACAGTATTTTAACAAAAACTATTAAAAAAACGAGTAACTTCTCTAGAACATCGGAAGGTTAGGTAAAGTCTTTTGTTTTCGTCATGTATTTTATCCTATTTTACATTAAAATACATCACGTTTCAGCAAAACTACTATTTATTTCCGAGAATATATTCATTCAGGCACAGTTAAGGTAAAATATACATGTGATGTAACAGTTTTTTAACTGAAAACGATTCGAAAAACACGTGTACCGTGTAGCTGATACTCAACAGCTGGTGGTGCGTCATGTGTCGTTGTAAACAATAGGAGGTTGAAGTAGATTACCGGGTATTATATCAAGTGTGAAATATCAAAAAGGTTTTTATTACCGGTATTTTTTGTAGATCAATGAGAACTGTGATACCGTATATGATATGATAAGTTAGCCTGTGTTAAGAACTTCAACATAGACTACTGAAAACACATTGTAAGGTAATTTAGCCTATTGTAAGTTGGTGAGCTTCATTTGCTGAAGGAAGTGCACAACTTTTCATTACTAATTGGTACAAATTTTACGTTTCCATTGTTTACTGGCAGTAAATGGTAAATATTTTTCATGTCTGAAGCTAAAAGTTGCATCCCCCCCAACACTAGTGGTGAAGATGTTACATTTGACCAAAAAGACGCTGGTGTTTTATCACAGCAGTGGGTGGACCAGCATTTTAGCTTAAGGTCTGCGTAGGTAATATTCCTACAAATCTTTATATATAAAAAAAAAAAAAAAAAAAAAAAAAAAAAAAAAAAAAAAAAAAAAAAAAAAAGTTCGTTTGTTCAGATTTTGTCCGAATTATCCGAAATCCGGATTAAAGGAGTCCGAATTAACGAGGGTCGACTGTAATAATAACAATATTGACATTGCTGAGCCATGACTCACTAAGATATAAGAATGCAGACACTACACTGAATATCACAGCCAGTAAAGTGAACCATTTGATCGATAAATATCTACCCAAAACCAAACCCAGTGCCTCCAGGAATATAAGGAGACCGTTACACAAGAACCATGTGGCGGTGGACAAAATTAAGAAGAAAACTAAGAAATTTGAGATGTGGGTTAGGACAAAGTATAAGCAGGACAGGAGGATGTATGTCAGATCCAGGAACCAAGCACAGCCAGAATATTGAAGGGCTGAAAAAGTTCCAGAGGCAGATTATGAGTGAAGTTAAGTCAGACCAGAAGGGGTTTTACCGCTATGCAATGTCGAAAATAAAAAGATGAGTAGGCTTGGAGATAGTAGTTACACAGATTCTGACCAAGACAAGGCGGATGCATTGAACAGTTTCCTTTTCTCGATGTTGACAAAAGAGGATGCGAACAATCTTCTGCATTTGAGGACAGACAGTTTGACACAGTGCCCATACTACAGACGGGCAAGGGGTGACTTAATTGAGGTGTATAAGCATCTCAAGGGGCACTACTCAGTCGAGTGTCCTTACTTGGAGCTGGCGGACGCTCGCCCCACAAGGGGTCACAGCTCAAGATTGAAGAAGCAGCAAGTCCAGAAAACTGTGAGGGCAAACTTTTTCGGAGTGAGAGTTGTGAACTCTTGGAACAATCTACCAGAAAGTGTTGTGACGGAACCGAGTGTGAGCTATTTCAAGACAAGACTTGACAAACACTGGAACAGGTTCAGGTACATTCAGGAGCCGGTGCATGCCCACTGCCCAGTACTTGCCAACAGTGCGTAACAGAGACGTGACCGATCGCCCAAGCGGCTAACGAGCCGATCATTTGGTGAAAAGGATAAAAGAAAAGGAAAAGTAATCAGAGACGTGACCGATCGCCCAAGCGGCTCACGAGCCGATCAGTGGTGAAGAGGATAAAAGAAAAGCTAAAGGTTCATAAGAGTTCCGGCCCTGACATAGTGCATCCCAGAGTGCTATGAGAGTTGTGCAATGAGCTTGTTCTGTAAATGCCTGGATGAGCAAAATGTTCCCAGTGATTGAAATATGGCTTATCCGAGTCCTATATTCAAGAAGGGCAATCGTCACTCCATGAATAATTATTGTAAAGGCCTGGGACTTAGGGATAGAAATCCCTTACCAGACTAATCAGGATCTTAAAAAAGGAAAGTCAAGGACCATGGTTTTCTGAGGAATAACAAACAACCGTTTGAAATTGACAGTTAATGGAGTCAAACAATTAATGGAAGCAAACAATTAATGGAAGCAAACAATTACTGGGAGTCAGCAATTAATGGAATCAAACAATTAATGGAATTAACAATTAATGGGAGTCAACAACTGATAGAATCAAACAATAAACGGGAGTCAGAAATTAAAGGAATCAAACAACAAAAGAATCAAACAATGAACAGATATTTCCTGTGGCAGTGGCCCTGGGGAAAATTCTGGAACACAGTGATCCACTCTCAGGGGGAAGCGTCCATTCAACTCCTCACTCGAGCGACAGTGGCCGATGTTTTGATACAGTAGACGAAACACCGGGGCACAGACGGGAAGGTAGTGACTGTAATCACGGCTGGGGTGAATCTGACGGCGACACAGGTAGAAGTGTCGTTCTCACCTCTGTCCAACCCCCCAAGTGTTGGTCGCACCAGCAAACGAGCGAGTGTGCAGCGGTAACAAGCAGGAAGATCGTTTCCACCCTTACAATTATAAACCAGTGAGCCTGACTAGCATAGTGTGTAAAGTACTTGAGAGCATTATAAGAGATGCCATGATGGAACATATACTCCGAAACAACCTTGTAAAGGACTACCAACAGAGTTTTATGCCGGGACACTCCTGTTTAACACAATTATTCAAGGTACTGGATGTTTTAACTCAAATTCTGGAGCAGGGTGGCAATATCAACTATATATACCTATATTTTGACAAGGCTTTTGACACATACCCTATGAAAGGCTGAGAATTGGACTGGAAGGGTATAAAATTCAGGGAAGTGTCTTAGCATGGATTGGAGACATTCTGCATGATCACAAGCAGTGTGTGGTGATTAATGGCACGAAATCGTCATATGTACCCGTGACAAACGGGGTACCACAGGGCTGTATTGGGCCCATTTTTGTCTGTTTGTTTCATAAATGACTTGCCAGAAGCTATACACTCCTCCATACAAATGTTTGCGGACGATGCCAAGTTATTCAGGGAAATTAAGAACCAAAGAGACTGCGAAGAGCTGCGGAAAGATTCCTGTGAGCTTCAAGAGTGGTCAAAGAAATGGCTGCTGAGATTCAATGTCATGAAGTGTAAGAGGATGCACCTGGGTTGCACCAACAGTAAGGAGGCGTATCATATGTCCTAACGGGATGAAGAAACTGCATTAACAGAGAGAGAATGCAAAAAAGACCTGGGTGTGTATGTTGACAATAAACTGAATACCTCGAACCATTGTGAAAGGGTGAATCAAGCAACTAAACTAGTTTGTCTTATAAGAAGGTCGTTCAGATATCTAGATGGTCTGTTCCTCATAACTATCTTCCAGAGTGAGGTGCTTCCCCATCTGAGGTACTCTCACCCTGCCTGGTCCCCAAGATATGCTAGGGACTGTCAATTGATTGAAAATGTCCAAAGGAGGGCCACCAGACTGGTGCCTGCACTTCGGCATCTCAGTTATCCAGAGAGATTAGAGTACCTGCAACTGCCTAGCTTATATTGTACTACAGAAGGGCAAGGGGGTACCTAATTGAGGTGTATAAATATCTCAAAGGACACTACTCAGTCGAGTGTCCATACCTGGAGCTGGCGGATGCCTACCCCAAAAGGGGTCACAGCTGAAGGTAAAAGAAACTGCAAGTACAGAAAACTGTGAAGGGTAACTTTTTTGGAGTGAGAATTGTGGACTCTTGGAACAACCTGCCAGAGAATGTTGTGACGGCAGAGTGCGAGCTCATTCAAAGCCAGACTTGACCAACACTGGAGCAGGATCGGATACATTCAGGAGCCAGCGCACGCCCAGTACTTGCCAACAGTGCGTAACAGAGACGTGAAAGACCACCCAAGCGACTAACGAGCCGATCAGTGGCAAAGAGGATAAAGGTAAAGGTAAAACTAAAACAGCAGGGGTGTCTAAGACTTTAAAAACTACTCAGTGCAATTTTCAATAACCTCCCCTCCCCATTCACCCATACAGTAGTTCATGTTATAATTCTGTACAAAATCAATAAATACATCAATGATCAGTGTATATGCACCATATGCCTGGACCTACACCACCTCTGCTTTGCACTACTTAACATAAAATAAAAAACAACACTCAAATACTCCTTTTTTTTTCTGTCCAGTCCAGTATATACTTCAGGGGTTACAATTTGAGGGACCCATCAATTGCAACTACATGTCTCTGAATAAGTGGTTATAACTGAAGACTACAAACACAAGAGACCGAACAGTTTCGAATACTGTACTGTACCTTGGGCAGGGTGTTCAGATACATGCTCAGAATAGCAGCGTCTCCAAACTCCTTCCATGCTTCAGCCTTGAAGATCATTTTTGCTGCTTCTGCATCTGCTTTTGCCTGTGTTAAGGGAGATGAAAATCTATGACACAGTTGTCGAAAGACATTTTCAACACTCTTTATTAATACTGTATACAGTTAATCCTCCATATAACAGACTTCTCTCTTCAAATAATCTGTTAGATGGGGGTTTCACATCTAACAGACCCTCAATATAATGTACTTTCACCACTATACAGTTCGTTAGATGGAAGTTCACATCTAATAGACCATACTGTAGATATAAAGGATTTTCCTCTCCATATACAGTAATCCATTATGCAGAGGTTTCACTGTACTGTACACTACAGGTCATTTCTCACAATTAATACAACTTCCTTATCAAGTCTTGTCACAATTTAATATTGTACTGTACTATGAGTGTAATAATACCGGCACCTGTGGTGCTTAATTAAGATCACACATCAAAATTTATCCCCAAACTCTTAAATGCCTGATATGAAATGTACTGTACATGCATCTCACTACTGTGTCCTCAGTTCAATCCTCATCCTGGGATAGATGTGAGAAGGTGTTATCCAGTGTGATACAATCAATATTGCAGGACTAACCTTTATGGCATAGGCCATAGCCTCCCCTTTCAGTAGCATGGCCTCAGCTGTAGCCTCTGACTCCAGGATGGTCTTCTGCTTCTGAGCTGCAGCAAGAGTCTCCATCCTAAAGGTAATGAGTCAATATCCATTTAGAAATTTGATGCCATAATTTACATTTATCAATCTTCCTTAATTTCAGGGCTGGCAAAAATCATTGTTTTAAACAAAACAAAACAACTAAAATTTTTGTTTCGTTTTTTTAAACAAAACATGTTTTAATTTTGGATTTATTGCTATTATGTTGGTTCTAATAAGTCTTAAGTATTAGTGGTCCTTTTTTTTATGAACTTTTTAATATGCTATTAATCATAAACATTACATTCAGGATGATTTAGCAATCATTTATACTCTTTTCCATCTTAAAAAAAATCATTACAAAAGTCAAGTTTATAAAACACAAGCTTTGATCAGTCATTCAGACTCATCGTACAGTACATGCTTGAAGTTAAAAACTAAGTTTAAGTTTCTCCTTAATGCATGAAAAAGATAATTTACTTTTTGAAAGTTTTTAAAGAATTTATTTAAATACAGTTGGAGAGATGGGCAGTGGCAACCTGGCTCCCCTGGACCCATATAATACATGATCTGAACACAATAAAATCATAGACTCGGGGCCCAACCATATACTGAACAGTGGCAACTTGGCTCCTTATAGTCATGATTTGAGATGTGTACCGCCCTGTAAGCTTATTATCACCATTTTCACCAGTGTACAGTATAACTGAACAACCAAAGGAGCATAACACAATTGTTTCACTTTCTTTCCCATTTACTCTTACTGTTACCCTGCTGCTCTCACTGAATCCTTTTACTGCATTTAATAGCCTTCCTCCCATTCCATACACTTGTGATACCTCCCACAATGCTTTTATGCTCACCATATCATAAGCCTTTTCCAAATCTACTGGAACTCGGTAAAATCATCTGTAAGTAATAAAAAAGCAACAAAAAGGGGCATAGATATTTTTTCTTTGGTTTAAACCACTTACTTTAAGCCATTGGTTTCAGTTGACTAACCCTGCTTAATTTAGTTTTCTTTCTCTCATCTTTTAATGTACAAATGCCTTCATTTATGCCTTCTTTCATTATATTTAACCCTCTAGCCATGGGTTTGTGTGTCACTGGTCGTACGTGGGGTGAATCGAGAATAATCATCTTTTTAAAAAATAATTTTTGACCTTTTTAAATGATAAAACAATAAAGTAAGAAAAACTATATATCAACCCTCTAGAAACTTCTCTGGCAGCACGGAGGAAGGGAAGGGGAGGGAGATAAGGGGACAAATCATTATGACGGCGAGCGCTTGTGGTCACCCACGCATTTAGCAGCTATGTTCTGCTTGCCTTTGTATCTGAGATGGCCAGCAATGCATATATTTACTGATCATGATACTTATTTCCTATACATAATTAATTTAGAATTTATTTTATTTGCATTATTTTTCATAAAAAGTGCTCGGTGACACACATGCAGTCTGTCGGCAGGCTGTCAGCCTGTCTTTGTGTTTGGGAGAGCAAATAATGCATATAAATAATTATCGGAATAATAATCCCAAAATTAAATACATTTATAACAATATTTTCCAGGTGTGGGTAGAAGTATCTCCCCCAGCCATACACTAACCGCATCACTCTTTTTTTCCCTAAGCCAAGTGTGTTAAGTTGAATGTGTGTAAGATGTGACATGATTGTATATGCTGAATCAAATGTACACTGATATAATGATTTTAGTTAATAAATATCCCTATCTATCTTATGACCTCATGTTTGTTGTTTTTTAATATGACAATTTTAGTAGTACAGTATGTGATTGTTTTGCCAGTGTCTCTGTTAGATCCAGGTTGTAATGTTTTTTTTTAACTTTGTAAAATTCTCCTTTTCTATTATTCAGTGTATGTGTTATTAATACTGTATGTTACTGCAATATATGTATCAATGAGACAAAGAAGCCCAACTTGTATTTTGCTGCCTCAGCTGGCTGCTTCTCAGTAACATCCAGATGTTTTTCCTGTCGCAGGATCTCCTGTTGCTCCACCAGGATTTTTGCCTTCTTCTCCACTATCTGGTCAATAAATAGGTTTACAGTAGTCAGGCATGCATGAGTTTACAATACTCAGGTATGTATGAGTATATAGCATTCAGGTACAGGTAAACCTCGAACTATGATCTCTCTATTTAGGATATTTCACTTGAACGATGGTGATGTTTTAAGACAAACTCCCTAGTTACGATAAAAAAAAAAAATGCAAAAACAATGGCCATTGTCTGGCCAAACTCGCTGACCTGTGGAATACTGTACTGTACAGGAAGTATCTCTTGTGTAACAATTGGGATGCATTCCTGAAAAAGCGATTTTAATGCAAAATAATCACAAAATGAGAGATAATGAATAACATCCATGGAGATGGTACGTAATTGTGTAGCGAACTCGCCACCCAGTAGCAATGAGAACAGGTGAGGCTGAGCTGTGAGCTATGTTATGGTTCAACACATAATTCCCCAGTAGATATATGTATACAGTAGTACCCCGATTTACGTGGTCAATTGAACCCACAGGGTACAGCGGAAAGTGAAAACCGCGTAAAGTGAACAACAGAACATATGGGATTAATTCCAATAGAGACTGGCCCAACCCCCAAACTCCACTTTTTCCGACACAATACCTATGTTGTAGTAAAAATAACATCTAAATTTTATGATGGTATGCTCACACAATTAATATTTAAGAGAAATACAGTCGCCAGGTTAATGTCCATTCAAATAATGGACTCAAATCCCCCCCCCCCTCTTCCCAGCTCACTGGCCCCTACCTCTCTGAGAAATGATTGGGTGAAACACTAGATTTTAACGTTTAGTAATAAATAATACCTCAGACTAAAGTTAGGATAATATAATTGACATTTCTGGATTCCTTGCAGGTCAGGGAATATTTTGAATGTAAACTTCATATATTTTGCACAAAAGATAAAATACTTGCTTTGTGTAAACCAAATTATTACATTAGATCTAAAATTTGTATGTCTAATGCAAAATCCATGATGTTTATATTCAAAATGATCATCATATTATAAGAATTCCAGCAATGTAAATTATATTCTGGCTGGGTAATTTGTATGAATTTTATGAGCTAAATAAAAAAAAAATATATATACTTCACGCGTATATGAGTAGATGCACCGCGGAAAGTGAAAGTCCGGTTCTGGCAAGGCAAGGTACCGCGTAAATGAGAAATCGTAAATGAGAAATCGCGGAAAGTGAAACCGTGTAAAGCAGGGTAATACTGTACATAATTTTCTTCCATTTATTTTTACTGTGTTACATGCACACATAATCGTTCACACAGAATGTGAAAAAAAAATTATTATTTGGTCAAACACAGAAAATTAAATTTCATTAAGTCCGTTGGAATAAGTGTGTGATCGTGAGAGGGGAAAGGGGGAGCGGGAGGGGGGGGGGGGAATCTCTCAGCTTCTCTGTCTCATGTCCCGTGAAAAGATTGCCGAATGACAATGCAGTATTTTTTTTTCTTTTATATTATTATTTTTATATAGTCATCACATTTTCTAAGATTGTCAAGTGTTTTTCCTCTGGTTTTGTAACTGTAAAGTGAGCAGTGTAACTTTGAAAATGTCTAGGAAGCCATTGCTGGGAAGGCCAAGGTGCCCAGGAAAACCTGTCTCTCTGAAGGTGAAGCTTGACATTGTGAAGCAGCCAAGTTTGTTCTTATTGATGTAGGGAGTGTTGTTTAATTGTTTTCTATTTATTTTATCAGCACAGGATTTTTTCGTGATACATGTGCATATATCGGACTAGTTGTGAACATATCCCATTGAACTATATGTTATAATGAACTCAATTTACGATATTCCGATTTGTGACGAGATTTTCAGAAACGTAATCTCTCTTAAATCGAGGTTTACCTGTATAAAGATCATGACATATACTAGAGCAGACTACGAATACCAGTATGGAACATGACATATATTAGAGCAGACTATGAATACCAGTATGGAACATGACATATGCTAGAGCAGACTATGAATACCAGTATGGAACATGACATATGCTAGAGCAGACTATGAATACCAGTATGGAACATGACATATATTAGAGCAGACTATGAATACCAGTATGGAACATGACATATGCTAGAGCAGACTATGAATACCAGTATGGAACATGACATATGCTAGAGCAGACTATGAATACCAGTATGGAACATGACATATGCTAGAGCAGACTATGAATACCAGTATGGAACATGACATATGCTAGAGCAGATTATGAATACCAGTATGGAACATGACATATATTAGAGCAGACTATGAATACCAGTATGGAACATGACATATATTAGAGCAGACTATGAATACCAGTATGGAACATGACATATATTAGAGCAGACTATGAATACCAGTATGGAACATGACATATGCTAGAGCAGACTATGAATACCAGTATGGAACATGACATATGCTAGAGCAGACTATTAATACCAGTATGGAACATGACATATGCTACAGCAGACTATGAATACCAGTATGGAACATGACATATATTAGAGCAGACTATGAATACCAGTATGGAACATGACATATGCGAGAGCAGACTATGAATACCAGTATGGAACATGACATATGCGAGAGCAGACTATGAATACCAGTATGGAACATGACATATGCTAGAGCAGACTATGAATACCAGTATGGAACATGACATATACCATGACATATATTAGAGCAGACTATGAATACAGTATGGAATATGCGAGAGCAGACTATGAATACCAGTATGGAACATGACAGGACTATGAATACCAAAACATGACATATAGAGCAGACTATGAATACCAGTATGGAACATGACATATGGTAGAGCAGACTATGAATACCAGTATGGAACATGACATATGCGTAGAGCAGACTATGAATACCAGTATGGAACATGACATATGCGAGAGCAGACTATGAATACCAGTATGGAACATGACATATGCTAGAGCAGACTATGAATACCAGTATGGAACATGACATATGCGAGAGCAGACTATGAATACCAGTATGGAACATGACATATGCTAGAGCAGACTATGAATACCAGTATGGAACATGACATATGCGAGAGCAGACTATGAATACCAGTATGGAACATGACATATATTAGAGCAGACTATGAATACCAGTATGGAACATGACATATGCGAGAGCAGACTATTAATACCAGTATGGAACATGACATATATTAGAGCAGACTATTAATACCAGTATGGAACATGACATATATTAGAGCAGACTATGAATACCAGTATGGAACATGACATATATTAGAGCAGACTATGAATACCAGTATGGAACATGACATATACCATAGGTTACCTTTATCTCCATTTTCTCCTCTTGAATCTTCTGTTTGGTCTTGCAAGATTGTAGCTCGTATGCCAAGTTGGCTTCCGCTTCCTGCTCACAGGAAGGTGACCATTAGACACGATAATTGTATAAATCTATTTCATTGATATAGTACAATACCTTTCATAATATCTGTGGTACCTAGCAAGTAAATAATATATCTAGAGCCACTTAATTTGTTTCGTTTTCTAATACTGTACTACAGAACAGAAGTAAATTCAGGGAGCAGAACAAAAATAGAGGAGAAAAAGAGATACTCTTTACTATACAAATTACCGGCAGAGTGAAGACAACATTGATAATGATAATAAACTAAGATGAAGGAAGGAAAGGATGATAAGGTTTAGGCAGGAACAAAGGATAAGTCAGGCAAAATTTGTACAATAAAAATATCCATGAATATCACACAAGATTTGGCCATACAGACATAAAGCCTTATACTACCCACTTATATAAAGTACAGGGGTCCCTCTATGTTGAACAAAATCATCTGGTGTTGGCCAAATAAAATATTAAAAGTGATGTCCCTGTAGTGAGGGTGTTAAAAGACAGCTAAATTGTCCTGTGTAAATAAATCTTCACATGCTAAGGGGCTGATCCAAGCCAGGAAGAATGGTTCAACTAAAAACATTTCAAACATATTGTTGTCTGGGATCTTCTCTGATAACAATTAGGTACAGTTCTGTTCAGAAGTTAGTTATACACCCGCTGTAAGGGACGCATAACCTGTAGCACCCTTCCTGGATGTCAGGTCACTACGCCAAACCTCCCACCAACACACAGATTGAAAGAGACAACAGAGCAGCTTGACTTGAAATAAGACTCATCAAAAAAGAGATGGGAAGGACATTAATATGAATACCGGCCAACATTACTGCTGATGGATGATGAAAATGTGCTAATATCCTGTAAACTATAAAAAGACATCGCCAGGAAAAAATAATTTAAAGACACAAAAATCTTCTTAACACTATATTGTGATGCCTAAAAAGTCACGTACAGTACAAACATCATCTTACCCGACTCTTCACTTCCTGATCATAGGCAGCTTTCTGTAACTCAAAGTCTCTCTTAGCCTTGGCCACCAATGTCTTGTTTATGTACTGTGCAGCAAGGAGTGTTTCAGCTGCTAAGCTTTTTTGGATTTCGGAATCTTTCTTAGCTTCAGCCTCACCAATCCTCGCATCACGCTTCACCTGAGCTGTCTGAGCCATGCCCAGAGCCTTAAGGTAGCCCTAAGGAGTAGTGCTTTGATTTAATAATTTGACTCTTAATTCAAAGTGAAACTACATACTATCTACCGTACATATCTGCTGTAGTAAGTCGAGTCATACCTCACAACTTAAATCAAATTATTCAGCATAGCAATACTATACAGGTACAACATAAGTGGTGCCCTAATCAATACCATGTCTACATATATGAATGAAATTTATTCACATCTTGAAGTACTAAGTAAATTAAAAATATTTACCAAAGTAATAATATGTTTAATGATTAAAATTTGTCAGGGAGTTTGATCTTTTAGAGGAAGTTCGACACCTTATTGACAGAAAATTTTTGACTCTCCTGCTAAATCTGTAATATAAGAGTAAGTTACTCTTACTACTGATTCATCAGTATGGGGGAAACCTTGATATCAAGACATCAAATAGCATTCATAAACCAACATTCAATAACCACTTAAAATCAAGAATAGAAATACCTAGGTAATAATCAATGGAATATATCTTAATATCTTCAACAACCAAATCTTTCTAAAATAAATTTGTCTTATTACTAAATGTACACACATGCAGCGGCCTGTGGTGAAAAAAGCTAGGGTAAGCAAATGACATTGTTCATGACAATATACTGTACTACTATCAACTATTATGCATCTAGGAAACAGAACAAAAAGATTAGATAATTACTCTATTTTTTTTTCGTCTTCAACCTTTATTTATGATGCCAATAAGGCATTTGTTAAAAGTTTTTGTTAGACAACAGGAACCCTCAGTTCACCCTTTGAGAAAAATACATGGACCCTTGCACCCCTGGCTACGATGGTATTCGAGTTGAACACACAATGCCTCTCGTTAAGGTTGGAAAGCATGAATGAGCCGCTCTTTCGAGAAACTTCAAAACAGTACGAACTCTACCTTTGAATTCAAGCAAACCTCGCCCTTGTCTACCAAATAAAATAAAAAAGGTCGATTATAGTGAATCAGTTATAAAGTAACGTAAGGGCTAAGGAAGCTTTCCTAGTCGATATGCTTGATCCTTGCTACAGTCTCGTCACACATCATGGAGACGTCAAACTCAACATGTTCATCTATCATCGTTCTACACAACCGAGGCCTCAGCAGCTGTGGAAATGCGCGGTAGCTTGACGTATCCAAGTCAACTGTCGAGAAGTGGATTCAGCACTACGAGGAGACTGGAGCGAAAAACAACAGGCCTTAGAGCAGGCGCCTGCAATGCACTTCTCTGGAAGATGGCCAGGTTTGTCATTTGTATGAATATTGATAAGGTCACGAAATAACTGAAATACTAATATATTTCATCATTTACGTTATGCCATTAATATGCATTCCTTTATCTCTGGATCAGGCAATATTGGGGACCATTGATGCCGATCCATTTGCCACAGTTGTCAGCATTCGGAATGAACTTGGACAAGATGCTCTCCTCAGACTATCCGAAGCAGACTTTACTTCATGGATCTGTGTACTGTAGTTACACACCAGCAAAGAAGCCACACCTCTCTGAGGTGTGGCTTCTCTGAGTTCAACAGGGGTAGAAGAATGGAATATGCACAAGAATACTGCGACAAAGAAGATAGTTTCTGAGACTACGTAGTCTTTTGTGATGAAAAGATATTCAGCTGCTCAGACAATCACAGAAGTACCAAAGAAGTACTAAAGTGTGGCAGATATGAAACACTACGTGTAGTAAATCTCATTCTCTATCTCATAATTACATTTGTTAATTCATATTTAAACTGATGTTTTATTTAAGAAGAGTTCCATCAATGCAGTATTGATTTGTTAAAATACTGTTTGTAGATACGACTCATACCAGGTAGTGCCCACTAGGAGAAGTGGCAGAGTCACCGCAGGGTTGTTTGGGTGGAGGCACGTAGGTGTAGGGGAGCTGGCCGATGTTGTTCCGGGCCAATTCACAGGTCCAGAGTATATACAGTACTGTATTAACATATTATAGGGCATTCTGCTGCCTTCAGTGAGAGCTTTGTTGTTTCCCGAGCCCGAGTCTTTTTACCATGTTCAAGACAACAGCCCCGTCCACACCTGTCACGTAGTCAAAGAGTGGTTTGCCCAACACCTGGAAATATCCTTACTGCCACATCCACCACAATCCCCGGACCTTAACCCCATTGAGAACGTGTGGTCTGCCATGACTCAACGGATGCCAATGAACCACCCCAGGAGGCGCCAAAGTGTCATCATGAATGCACTACAGGCGTGGGAAGAGTTGCCAAGTCCCGCCAGACGAGTCCTTACTACCGAGTTGTGGACTCCATGCCCAGGAGACTTAACAGCTTAATAGTGGCTGGGGTGCTTACATCACAAAGTAATGTAGTGTATGTAATAAAAGTGGCTTCTTAAAAGCTTTGGTTTCTAAGGTACAAATATTGAGAATATACAAACTTATGAGACAAATAACTGATAACCCAATTACTGCCATAATCGGAAAGCAGGGTTACTAAAGTGAATCATTCCTTTTCTTAATATTTCATCCAGTTTGTTATATTGTGTCATTGTTTGACACTGAGGGTACACGTACTTTCCTTGGCAGGTGTACATTATAAGTAATTTCAGATTTATTCCCAATGAAATAAATTACAAAATTTGCACAGGCTACATCAATGGGAAAATGATTGCATGGGCTACATCAATGGCAACATGAAATATCGAAATAAATTGAAACTAATCAAATTTAAAAAAAAAAAAAGCTTGTGAATTTAGAGGTATGCGAGATGCTGCTTGCAGTGATCTGTATGGGGTAGGAGTACGGAATTTGGAGAAATGTCCTAGTGTTGATAGAAGACTTTCTACATGACCGCAAGCAGTGTGTGGTGATTAATGGCACGAAATCATCATCCGTACCTGTCACAAGCGGGGTACCACAGGGCAGTGTATTGGGCCCGCTGTTTGTTTGTTTGTTTCATAAATGACATGCCTGACGTTGTACACTCCTTCATACAAATGTTTGCCGATGATGCCAAGTTATTTTGGGAAACAAGAACCAAGCAGACTGTGAAGAGCTGTAGAAGGACCTCTGTGGGCTCCAAGAATGGTCGAAGAAATGGCTGCCGAGATTCAATGTCATGAAGTGCAAGAGGATGCACCTGGGGCGTACCAACGGTAAGGAGGCGTATCATGTGTCCCAACGGGAAGAAGAAACTGTACTATTTGAGACTGTGTGTGAGAAGGACCTAGGTGTGTATGCTGACAATGAGCTGACGTTCTCGGGCCAATGCAAGAAGAAGGTAAATCAGGCAAATAAATTATTGGGTCTTATAAGAAGGTCGTTCAGATATCTAGATCGAAACGATCTTCAAGAGTGAAGTGTTTCCCCATCTGGAGTACTGTCACCCCGTCTGGTCCCTGAGATATGCTAGGGACTGTCAGTTGGTTGAAAATGTTCAAAGGAGGGCCACCAGACTGGTGCCTGCCCTTTGGCACCTCAGCTACACTGAGAGATTGAAGCGCCTGAACTTGCCTAGCTTATACTACAGACGGGCAAGGGGTGACTTAATTGAGGTGTATAAGCATCTCAAGGGGCACTACTCAGTCGAGTGTCCTTACTTGGAGCTGGCGGACGCTCGCACCACAAGGGGTCACAACTCAAGATTGAATAAGCCTCAAGTCCAGAAAACTGTGAGGGCAAACTTTTTCGGAGTGAGAGTTGTGAACTCTTGGAACAATCTACCAGAAAGTGTTGTGACGGCACCGAGTGTGAGCTCTTTCAAGACAAGACTTGACCAACACTGGAGCGGGTTTAGGTACATTCAGGAGCCGGTGCATGCCCAGTATAGTACTTGCTAACAGTGTGTAACAGAGAAGTGACCGATCGCCCAAGCAGCTAACGAGCCGATCAGTGGTGAAGAGGATAAAAGTAAAAAAGTAAGTAAAAGGAGTAGGGGAGGGACAACCAACTGTGTTTTCATAACTTAAATCTCGAGCAAAAGGAATTCTACTCATAGATGCCAACAAATGTTATTGAGGGGAAATTCTAGCATCAGATATGAATCATATTTACATGGATTTAGGAAAAAGTGGGTTAATATAATTTAAATTAATAGTTTTCATCTTATGTCTGGCAATGGCATATCATTTTACCCCGCAAGAGGGCGGAAGAGGCTACTGCAAATCGAATGTTGCGTATTCGGGGGACAGATTTTCAAGCGGCAAACGCTCCTGTTTTGCAAGTTTCTAAAGTCTGACCTCCAATTGCAACATATTTAAATTTAATGAGACTTAAATAACATAAATGCAGAATGCAATACAGGCAGTGGCGGACTGGCCCACCAGGATACTGGGAAATTTCCCGGTGGGCCCCAAAGTGATGGTCCATCACTTTGGAAATAACAGAAAAAAGAAAAAAATATTGAAGAGATGTAACATTTTATTTGCTTAAAACCTTTACTTTTATTTGATTCCTTTGACTACATTTTGGGATTAAGTGGGCACTTTTGGACCCTTTTGAGTGGGCCCTTTTACAAGTTTTCCAGGTAGAAATTTTTGACCCAGTCCGCCACTAAATACAGGTGCTCCTCTACTTATGAACGAGTTACGTTCCTGAGGCTTGATTGTAAGTCCAACTTTACTCTTGTAGATACAAACAAATTGTAAAAAAATGAAAAGATTATGGATATTTAGTACAGCTATACCCTTTAATACAGCCCTAAAACCTGGCTCACTCCTCTCCTCTTAGGTAATGTTTGTTCTATCTGGAATTTTCTTCAAAATAATCCAGTCTCAGTGATGATGTTTGTATCTCTGAAAGTTTGTAAGTTGAACATTCTTAAGTAGAGGAGCACCTGTATACCAATAAATAATATGCTAACTACAGTATAACAAGAGATAAATAATTTTGAAGGGAAGAATTTTCAGAGTAAGGCAGTAAACAATGCTTGCCTTGCTTCTTAGGAATACAGTACATGCCACTACTGTACACACACTGTCCGCATCATTGGTGTTGGGTACATGATCTGAAAAGTTGAGTAAACACATCAAATGGACACTGACTCATTGTCCTGGTAGGGTTGTCAAAATCTTTCGTCCGTTGTGTCATATTGTTTAACACAAAATTGTAAAGATACTTTTTGGCACGAGTGTAAAGTTTTACAATTAACAAAAGGAAATTAGAGAAATTAAGAGGTCTTACATGGTCATCGCTCAAATCGGTAATTGTGTAGGAGAGAACATGGATGCCAAGGGCGTAGAGGTCCTTGGAGGCCACCTCAAACACCCGTGAGTTAAACAAGGCGCGGTTCTTGTAAATATCCTGAAACACAACAAAGTCTTACACAGGAAACAGTACTTTACAAATGTCTTTAAAATAAAAAATACTTAAAACAAAATTTTAGATTATTTGTAAAGCCATACAAAACATTACAAGAAATATTAGTACAGGTTGTACCTCTCTAGTCCAGCAACCTCAGGACCTGACCGGTGTCGGACCATGGAAATTTCCGGACCATGGAAATTCACGCTTTTCCTGGACAGATATTGACTTGCGCTTAAGTTAGCACCACTTTCACTGCTTCGTGGTCTCTTTGAAGACATATTGAAGGGTTAAATGTCGTACAGTAGCTTCTCAAATTTCGCGAGTTTTTAATTCACCATTTTTTATTTGGACACAAAAAAAAACTACATAATTTAAAATTTTGACAGCGGAAACTCGAATTTCGATGGGTTTGAACGGCTTGCCAAAGTTCAGACGACGTGCACAATCGTGTAAACAGCGTCATTTCTCTTATGTACAAAAGATTCATTATTATTTATTACTGAATGTCTTTTTTATTGAATTAATGTTTATGCGTGCAAAATGAGCAATACAATTCATTAATAATACGTAGAATATTAAAACAGATGAGGAAATGAGACAGCATTGTTTTCGTTGATAACAAAACCAGTGACTGATTGGTTCTATATATAAAACAAGAAAATAAGACCCTGGTTGTAGCTGTAGTAAAATTAATGTAAAAAATTAATATGGTTGTTTTAAGTAATGTTATTTAATGTTAATAAATAGAACAATAAAAGTAGCAAACCATTAATGTTAAAGAAAAAAAGTGAGACTGCGCGTATGTAAGTGCGCACATGTGAAAAACACATCGTCATTACTCTACATAAGAATATGAAAGCAACACTTATTTACTGTTCATATATGTTTTAATTAATGTTTCTCATTTTTTTTATTGAATTAATGTTTGTGTGCAAAATGAACAATACAATTCATTAATAATTCGTGGAATATTAAAACACACGAAGAGACGAGACAGCTGTCGGCATTGTTTTCGTTAATGTTTACAAAACAAGTGACTGATTGGTTCTACATATAAAACAAGAAAATAAGACCCTGGTTGTAGCTGTAGTAAAATTAATGTAAAAATTAATATGGTTGTTCGAAGTGATGTTATTTAATGTTAATAAATGGAACAATATACGTAGCTAACCATTAATGTTAAAGAAAAAAGTGAGACTGCGCGTATGTAAGTGAGCACATGTAAAACATATCGTCATTACTCTACATAAGAATATGAAAGCAACACTTATTTACTGTTCATATATATTGAAGGGTTAAATGTTGTACTCTGTACTGTATAGACAAACAGAGAGAGAGAGCCGAATTGCCGGATGTAAACAAACCTTAATTTCCCGCGGCTTTGTTGTTGGTTTTTTTTATGGGGATTAGCCCACCCAGGCACAGGTCACTGACCCACATTGGAGCCTGAGGGGCAAAAATGCAATACTCCAGTAATAATAATAATAATTCAGATAAGTAAAAAAAAAAAAAAAAAAAAAAAAAAAAAAAACTGCTTATCTACCTATTGGACAAACTAAAATCGTTCCGGACCACGGGAGTTTCCGGACCACAGAGGTACAACCTGTATTTAATGAAAGAAAGGCTTCTTTTTTTTTTACAATAAATCTGCCATATAGATAAGAAGATACAGTAGATATATTAATATTTATTCAATATAAATGTCATACAAGCTTACAATTGGTTTGGTATATACTGTACATAGAACAATGCAGGTATCTATCCATCAATGACAAAAATGTACTGTAACTAGCTCTTTTATTAAAGCATCCAGTATAGTACACCTTATTTATCAGGTAAGCAACCACTCACCTCAACTGTCATAGTGCCCATAATGCCACGCTGGTGCCCCTCCAATGTAGCAGTGATGAGGGCATGTATCTCTTCCTGCTTTTTGTTCAGAAAATGTTCACAAGCCACTGCCAGAACATCTGGATGTTGGGTGCTGATCTTCACCTGTTGACAAAAGCAAATAATCTTGTATGAGTTTATTGTGATGATATGATGGGTTGGTCCTGAGACCCCAACTTATACTGTGTTAGGAGCAAGTGGTGACAGTGTGATCTTACCATATGGCAGTTTTCACCAATAATTCCAGTCTCTGCCTATAATAACACTTAGCATGGCAGGTTTTCTCTGGGTATTACAGTTTCCTCCTGTACTAACACTGGACCATGCAGGATGGTCCTCACTACCAAGAATGGCAGGTTACCTCTGGGTACTCCACCAACACTGGACCAAAAAGGTCATAAAACAAAGTAACAAAGAACAGAACAAGTGGCTAAATGTTTAGTAATCTGATAACTGGTGAATGATAAATTGGATGGGAAAAATTAAGTTCAGGTTCAAAGAGAGACCAGTAAAATGGACCACCGACCACTAAGGCAGATCACACCTAATGGTCAGAGTCCCAACAACACCAAGGCCTGAAACTTAAACCAATTAAGGGAAAGGACAACTTTTTTATCTCTCACTATCTCCTATGATTTCCATATGGAAAGATGAATCCTGAGATACTGCCACAGTTGACCTCGTACAGTGCCAATAAGCCAAATACTCAACCTTCTAAGCTTAACATCCATGTACTGAGGGAATTTAACTTAAACAATTTAATAAGTATACATTGACATCATTTGACACACAGGCTGAAAGACAACTAAAGGTATTGTACATTT